TTCTCAAGAGGATCATGAGTTTTCATTTTTCGTTTCTTCCTTTGATGATGGTTCTCCAACTTCATGTCTAAGTCATTTGTATTTATAACACCTACATCATCATTCACACAAGAATCCTTCCTCGGAAGGGGATTATCATCGAAAACAACATGTATAGACTCTTCTACAACTAAAGTTCTTTTATAAATACACGATAGGCTTTAGAATTTAAGGAATAACCCAGAAAAATTCCTTCATCACTTTTAGCATCAAATTTGCCAAGGTTTTCTTTACCGTTGTTTAAAACAAAACATTTACATCCAAAAGGATGAAAATAACTAATGTTAGGCTTTTTATTTTTGAAAATTTCATATGGAGTTTTCTTTAAAATTGGCCTAATCATTACTCGATTTACAACATAACAAGCGGTATTTGTGGCTTCCGCCCAAAAATATTTTGGCAAATTATTTTCACAAAGCATGGTTCTAGCCATTTCTTCTAAAGTTCGATTTTTCCTCTCAACAACTCTATTTTGTTGAGGGGTTCTAGGTGCTGAAAAATTATGACTAATACCATTAGAATTACAAAATTCAATAAATCCAAGATTTTCAAATTCAGCCATGATCACTCCTAACACTAGTTATAGAGTAACCCTTTTCATTTTGGATTATTTGAAAATGTGATGAACTGTTCTAATGCTTCATCTTTAGTACTTAAAAATAGAACCCAAGTATATCTAGAATAGTCATCTACCAAGACAAATGCATATTGTTTTCCACTCAAGCTAGTAGTCCTAGTTGGCCCAAAAAGATCTACATGGATCAATTGTAATACTCTACTAGTTGATACGTCATTAATGGATTTAAAAGAAACACGCTTTTGTTTTCCTTTAGCACAAGCATCACAGATTTTATCATAATCAAATTTAAGCTTAGGCAACCCTCGAACTAAATCACCTTGAATTAGCCGTTGCAAAACACTCATACTAGCATGTCCTAGTCTCCTATGCCATAACCAACTATCATGTTCATCTTTAGCAACTAGGCATAAATTAGTCATATCAAAAGAATCTAAATGCACCATGTAAATGTTCCTTATTCTATGACCAACAAGCATAATCTGATTAGATGCAATGTCAATGACTTTACAACCATTAATTTAAAATAAGACATTGAATCCTTTATCGCATAATTGACTAATACTCAATAGATTATGCTTTAATCCATTCACATATAAAACATTCTTAATTTGTATGGAAGAGGTATTACCTATTGTACCAATACCTTCAATGTGACCTTTTGAATTGTCTCCAAAAGTCACTTCTCCTCCATTTTGGCGTTAAGCTCAATGAACCGCTTTTGTCCCGTCATATGTCTTGAGCATCCACTATCAAGGTACCATGAATTTGAATTTGTTTCCCGTTCCTTATAGCAATGCTCCTTTCCCTACAAACATAGATTAACTTTTGATTTTTGGTACCCAAATTCTTTTGGGTCCATATTCATTAGTTTCCAAAATCCTAGTCCCCTTAGGTATCCATTTGTGTAGGATATTTTTATCTTTAGTAGTAATGAGTTCTTTAGGAACCCACATACTTCTAACGATTTTTCCATTAGAGGTTCTTTGGGGACCTCTATGATTGTAGTTTTTAAAACTTTTTCTAACAAAGTTAGATTTTGAATTTCCACCTTTTTCAAAATGTTTTGTTCCAACTTTATCAAAAGAAGTTTTAAGATCATCAATTTTCTTTTGATGATCATCATTGATCTTTGAAAGTAAATTTTGCAAATCTAAATTTTTCTTTTCAAACTATTCTAGTTTGATTTGCAAGTCTTTGATTTTACTTTCAAGATCGTTGTTGGTTTTGGATATGAGTTTGTTTTCATTTTTTAATTTTGAAACATCATTTTTATATTTTAAAAATAATTTCTCATAATCCGAAGCCAACCCATTATATTCCTCTAATAACTCATCATAAGATAAATCATCAAAATCGGATGAGTTAGAGGTTACCTTAGAATCTTCCCCGAATGCCATCAAGCACAAGTTTGCTACTTCTTGTTCCTCTTCATCGGAACTTTCTTCATCGCTCCATGTAGCCACATGAGCCTTGTGCTTATTCTTTGATTGACCCTTTTTCTTTAATTGTGGGCAATCATATTTGACATGCCCCAGCTTTTTGCATTCATAGCAAATGATTGGGTCTTTCTCTTTTGGTTCATTTTTGAGGCCTTCGTTTCGTTTGAATTTTCTTCCTCGGTAAGGTCTCATCATTTTTCTGAACCGTTTGGCAAATAATGCCATTTCCTCGTCATCATCATCATTATTAGAATCACTCTTATCTTTTGTGGATTTGAGAGCAACTCCAATGTTTTTCTTCTTCTCCTTCTCCTTTGGTGTCTCTTCAACTTTATCAAGGTCCACCTCATCTTCAAGCATCATCTCATGAGTGAGGAGTGAACCGATAAGTTCTTCAAGAGTTAAGGATGATAGGTCCTTAGACTCGATGATTGTCGTCTTCTTTGATTGCCATGATTTTGGAAGGGAGTAGACTAACTTCCTCACAAGCTTTTCATTTGAGATGAACTCTCCATACGATTTAAGACCATTGACAATCGTTGAAAATCTATCTGTCATAGCTTTGATGTCTTCATTTGGTTTCATCCTGAAATTTTCATAGCTATGCGTTAGAATACTAATTTTTGATTTCTTTACCTCATATGTACCTTCATGTGTGACTTGAAGCTTGTCTCATATTTCTTTGGCGGTTGTACACGATGAAACTCTTCCGTATTCATCTGGTCCAAGAGCACAAAAAATAATATGGATGGCTTTGGAATTGAGCTGGAACATTCTTGTATCTCCTTCACTCCACAACCTTGGATGAGTGAGAGGCTTGATGTATCCTTCTTCTACGGCATTCCATGCTCCCATGTCACTTGCTTGAATGAAGTACATCATTCTATTATTCCAATAGACATAATTAGCCCCATTGAAGAAAGGAGGCTTGTTGACGGGCATCGAATCAAGACCGGAGTCGTAATTTGAAGTGGAGGCCATTGATGACTTTGTAATCGATGTAACTCTTCCCGAATCGACTCAAGAGCGATTAAACCTTCAAATGAGTGTGGCTCTGATACCAATTGTTGAGTTAATCGATCGACGAAATCGGCCAAGAGGGGGTGAATTGGCAATTAAAAATTTCGTGGAAGCTTTTGTAGAAAATTGAAAGTAATTGCACAGCGATTTACAGTGGTTCGACTTTCTCAAACAAAGTCTACGTCCACTACCTTAGCTATCCACACTAAGGATTTTCCAACAAATTCACTAATTTGTTCTTTCTTTTGAGGCCAAAGAGATAACCTTACAAAATCCCTCAAGAGTATACCCCAACTCTTGAGAACACTCTTTTTCCCAAAGAGAAGATTACAAATTTGCAAACTTACAAGAAAACCTCACAAGGTAAGATGTTTGCACAATTCTAGAACAAAGAAAAGAACACTCAAAGATAAATACAATTGAGTACAAAAGTGTTCTTGAAAGCAAATGAATATTGGATGAAAAATAGGCTTGAAATGCTCAAACTTGAGGTTTGATGCTTTCTCTTTGATTCTCTCTTGATTCTAGTTGCTTGATGTTTCTTGTTATTGATCAATGGCTTCAGAACTTGTTTAAATACCCCTTGAATCAATTCTGAACGTTGGTGATAATTAGTGGAGTCAATAGAGCCGTTTAAGGGTGAAAACAATTAATTTTTCTAAGTGGAGCGTCTCATGCATCGATGCATGATGGAGGATGCATCGGTGCATCAGTGTAAAATTCAAATATTTTGACCGTTGGAACACTTGATGCATCGGTGCACCAAGTGTGCATCGATGCATGAAATGCATTCGATGTTTGAAAATAGCCTGCGATGCATCAAATGCATTCGATGTTTTGAAAATATCCAGAGTGCATCGATGCATGGAGAATGCATCGGTGCATGGAATGCATTCGATGTTTCAATTAATTCACTAATGCATCGATGCATGGTTGATGCATCGGTGCATCACCTCAAATAATTGAATTTAGGCTTTGATTTTGGTTCAAAATACTTTGTGAAAATTGTTTTAAAAATAGTTTAAGTACAAATCACAATTTTACACATTTAGTAAGGTTTAAAATTGATCTTGAAAAACTTGGAGTAATAATTTGATATTCGGTTAATTGAATCGAATATAAAATTGTAACATCATTTGTAAAATCTTAAAATTCATTTAACTTAATTTGTTATATCGATATATCAAAAATGTTTTCAACAAATTGACAATTCGAGTTGACTCCAATAACTCGACTCGAATAACTCGAATTTGGAAAAAGAAATTCGATTTTTTGAGTCGAGTCAAGTTTTGATCATCCTTGCTTTCTATTCGAATTATAGATATATACGTATATGTTTATTATTTGATCCATATATTTTATATATGGGTAGATTACACGTTTATTATTCAAATTATCAATTTTTGTTTATTTATGTACGTAAATTTTTAACTCTTGAAACTATACCTAAAGTTTAGTTTTTTGTTTCATTTTAATATCAAGTTCAAAATTTAACGTTAACTTTTGGGGGAAAATTTAAAAGTTTAGGTACTAAAAGGAGTAAATTTGATAGTTTGAGTACTAAACGCGTTAAGTTTTTAACATTAGGATACTAAAATGAAACAAAAAATTAAACGTTAGGTATGATTTTTTTTAAAAAATATTAAAGTTTAGATACTAAAACAAACTAAAATTGATAGTTTATGTATTAAATGCGTAATTTACCTTTCAGTATGTTGTGGCCATCATTAACCTTCATTTATAAATTTAAACGTTAGGAGTAAACTTTGGGGGTTGAATAACTGTGTAAGAAATATTCTGAAATTGACATTCAAATCAAATCCAAATAAATCTTACACAAACCCTACAGTGACATTGAAACTTAATCACAAAAATCCATTAATCACACACTAATAACACTTTGAATCATAAGATAAAGTTTTTCAGTCCTCGAAGCAGTAGGAAGGAAATGCGAAATCGTTCTCATTTGTGAACTCCTTGGATTCTATAAGACCTCTAAACCTTCCATTTTGAGCGGAACACATCTACAGTCATAAAGACCATTGAAATTAATGTTAATGAATGAAAATAAAATAATGACATGTTAGCAATCAACAATAATAATGCCTCTATAATTATCTGAAGAACTTACCCGAACATCTTAGATTCTACTAAAACATTTGAAGAGAACAATATAGTTGCACGTAGACTCAGTACACTTGAGAATTTCTCTTCGGCAACGCTGACCGCATAACCAGCAGTTAGGGTAGTCCTCAGCCTTCCTAAGAAACCGAAGCTTGTGAGGATGTCCGTAACCATAAGGACGAGGCAATGTGATCCCATCTTTGATAAATGGAAATTCTCCAAGAATACAATCGGGATGAGCAGAAGTATCACAGGTCGAACAACAATAATACCAGAGGTTCGGGTCTCTTTTTCCCTCACAAATATCACAATGAAGATGCTTTGAATAATCATTATCCTCGTGATAGGTGAGGTTTAGCTGATGTTGATCAAATTTGTGAACAACTGATTGTGGTAATGATAAGCATTTGAAATCCAAAGTAAAACTGCACTTTCCACATCTGAATGCACCATATCGACCTGTGTCAGCGCCACAACCATTGCATAGCTCCCTGCATTTGAAATCATAAAACAGGAAGTGCTCGTGTCCTTGAAATTCAATGATGTCAGGTACTTCAGCACACCTTAAGCAAATATAGTAGAATCCTCCAATTTCGTAGAAGAAACCGCTACAAGGTCGTTTGCACAAGTCAGACCCTGAAGCTTGTGGAGTAGAGAGTGGCAGTCAATCGACGAAACCAATGACGCTTTACTCTTGGCAGCTCAGCACAGTTTTTGTGGAGATAGAAATGGCATTCTGATTCAGAACAATAATAAAACAGAGTTGAGACAGGTAGCATGCACCCATCACATCTTCTATCAGTTTCCTCCTCCATCTTGTCTGCCAACACCAAGCAATGACCTTCATGCCAGAAATGTTCAATCTTTGTGGCTTCCCCATCTTCACTCACCTCAACAACGCGAGTGATGGAAGGCTGCGTAGACTTAGATGAACTTCCATAGAGCTCCTCGTGTCGTAACCGGTTTTTGTCCGGGCAAGAAAATTTTACTTGGCCGGAAAAATAATGTGGATAAAAATGATTTTGATTAAAAAAATGTTTTGGGAGTCGCCATCGACCTTTTTGGGTTAGGTAGGTCGAATACCTAAAAATCATATTTTAAAAGAGTTTTTAAGAAAACATCAGTTTAAAATATAAACTGGTCTGCGTTTAACCAAAAATTCATTCTTTTTATGAAATAAAAAGGGATTCGTGATCGGTTACGTTTGGGGGAGGATTAGCACTCCTACAACGCCCAAAATTGGTACTTATTAATTATAAATTGTTCATATTATTAGAAATTTAAAAATTCAAAGATATATTTAATTTATAATCATGTTATTTCAAATTTATTAATATAATTTTAAGAAAATATATTTATATATATATATATATATCTTTATTTTTATAAATAAGATATTTATTTACTTAGAAATATCAGAAAATAACTTCTAGGTGTTTTAAGACAACTCATTTCTTAATATTAAAAAATAAATAAATATTAATAAAATATTTCTTTAAAAATAATTAATATATAATTTATAAAAATAGGATAGTTATTTACTTAAGAATATCAGAAAATGACTTCTAGGTGCTTTAAGACAGTCAATTTCTTTGATATAAAAAAATAAATAAATATTATTATTTAATTAAATTATAAAATAAGTTAAATTAATTAGCAAAAAAAATTTAATGAGCACATTATCACAAAATTTGTGTAGAAACTACAAAAATCAAAGCTTAGGAATTACAAATGTTAGAGTTTTGAAATTAAATTTAATAAATATAATTTCTTACAAGTAATAGTATAATTTACTAATACATCATTTATTTATTAATACATATACGTGGAATTTAAATATTTGTAGAAATTACAAAAATCAAAGCACATTATGATTAAATAAAAAAACATGCACGTAGGATTTAAAAATGCAAAAGTTGGTAAAGAAAAGCATTTTAGTTATTATTTAAATGGCAATAATTATTGTTTAATGAAGAAAAACATGCACATCTTTTTTATTGGGTTAGGTGACCAATCATGCTAACTTTACAACAATTTCAAAACTATACTATTTTCACCAACTATGTCCACTAATTTATATAAACTAAAATTTTTTTATTTTTTAATTATTCACTATTTGTATTTTATTTTAACTATTAATATGTATTATTAGGATATATATATTCATGTAATAAAAATAAAATAATAATAATAATTAAAGTATTAAATTTAAAATATAAAAAAGTAATAATTAAATTGCAATTAAATAATAAAAAAAATAATAATATAGGATTAAATTAAAAATATATATAAATTAATAGCTATAATTTGAATTATTATTAAATATAAATACTATTACTATAATTTAACCATAAATATAAATATTGGAATAAATTATAATAATAATAGGGGTTAAATAGAGTATTTTACTTTTAATATATATATATATATATATATATATATATATATATATATTAATTAGTGACTAAAATAATAAAAATATATGATTAAATAAAAATAATAATAAAATTTACGGTTGAAAATAAAAATTATTTACATTATTAGGATATATCAATTAAGTTACTTTCTTGTTTCTTACCCGCAGAAAATGACGACAAAGGTATAATATTATAGTATATTTATTGTATTAAAATATACACCATGACAGTGTTTATACCCCTTATAACCGGCCTTTAAGGCCAAATTTCTCATTTCTCAATATGTTGGATAAGCAGGATACACCACGTCTTGGTGAGGGTATTTATACCCCCCTTATAATCGGCCTTAAGGCCAAATTTCTCATTTCTTCTCTTTTTATTCTTTCTCTTAGAGAGAGAAATTTTTTTCTCACTCGCCTCTCTCTATAATTCCCTCATCTAAGGGAATCCGGCCGCCATCAGCTCCGCCGCCGGCCACCACAGTCGGTGGACGAAAAATATAAAATTCTCCTAAATAATATATCTGACTGATTTAAACCCAAATCCGACCCCGTTTCTCTAAAAAGACCTTAGATTTTCATAAATCTAAAGAAATACCTTCGGTATTTCAACCTTTTCGACGGCGAGTAAAAGCGCGTGGAGACTTCGGTGGCGGTGATGTTTCCTCGGTAAGCCTTTCTCTATTTTTTTGGTTTTGATATTTGATGGTTTTGGTTGTTGGTTGCTTGTTGCCCCCTCCTCCTCTTTTTCTCTGTAGGGGATGGTCTTTTTATAGGCCTCATCGACGTTGCTTTCAAAATGGTCACAAAGGTGGCCCTCGGTGAGTCATCGAAGCTATGGTGGTGACTCACCATAGGGCAATGACATGTGCGGCTGGCCTAGAATCTTCTAGAGCCTTTGGAGTCGTGGCAGAAACTTACTACGGAACATAACGGCGGAGCAGCTCGGAGTGGTTGAAGGCGGCGCCGGAATAGACCCTAGGGTTCACCAACCCTAGGGTTTCTGTTGGATCTTCTTTGGACCGTTGAATCTCTTTAGATCCAACGGCTGAAATTGCTGGTGGTTGAGATTGCTGGTGGCTGAGATGATGTAAAAAACCCTAGATGGGTGTTGGGTCGGGTCTGGATCTGGGCTTCCGGGTTTTGGATCTAGGCCTCCGGGTTCTAGATCTTGGTCTCCGGGTTCTAGATCTGGGCCTATAAAATTAATTGAAATTTTTATTATTTTTTATAATAATAATAATAATAAATAATGGGACAAAAACTTAGTGTTTACACCTCGCATTGGCTTTCTCGCTCAACCACCTCGTAAAAGCTGTCATTCTCCAATGCACAATTCACGTGAAAAATGTAATTGCAACTGGACTTCACACAAGAGTAACTCCCACGCTCAAGATTCACTTCGTTGAAACAAATCTTACAATCTTTTCTTGTAAGCTCTTGAGTTTCAAGAAAATATTTGTGAAAAAGACAGTGATCATGTCGTGAAAATTTGATAAAGCGTGGGAGTTTTGTGCAGTCTTTATGGATTTTGATGTTGCATGTCAAACATGTATAAGACATATAGTTTCCCTCAGTGTCACATGCATCACAAATGAATGAGCCTCGTCTCCAGAGTAAGGTAAATGGGTGCTGATGGCGACTTTTATCTTCAACAACGGGCATCGACCAAGCACAGATTAAAATCACAAACAGAACAACAATAAAAGAATCCATAATGTTGTTTTTGACATAGTTTGCAAAAGAGAGAATTCTCATTGGGATCAAGAAAAAGAGGGTGTATGCGTTGGGAAGGGTGTTTAAATTTATTGGATTCATCAATGCATGTCTTATGAAAGATGAGAGGACAATCACCACAACTATATAATGAACCAACTAAGGGTTCATGGCAACAAGAGGAACAATACAAGCTTTTGTGTTCATCTTTGGGATTTTGAATGAAGGTCAATGGATGTGGGTGGAAGTCATGTTTGACCTTACTTTATGAAGAAGACAAATCAACGCATTTGATGTCAAGGGAAAAGAAACAACTACGACATTCATAAAAGAACATGTTGCGTTTCTCCTTGCATAATGCACAACCATATACCTGAATACCAGGATGTGGCCATATCTGTGCTGGGGATGGAGAGGGTGACTGGAAATTGTCTGGGGTGCGAGGGCACAGTTGTTATGAAGGTGATAATTGCAGGGTGCACAACTAAAGCATGGATCTGAAATCACATCCCCACAGGCTGAGCAGTAAGCTTTCTCACCTTCATTAATTTGATCTTCCACAAACACCAAGGGGTGCTCATGAAAACGATGCTTAATCTCTCTCTTCTTCTCCATCTCCATTTGTGTTCTGTGAGTAATGAATGAGATGGCAGTGAATGATGACTAGATGTTCTAACAATAAATAGGAATTTCTTTTAAAAAAAAGTATTCCCAACATTAATCTTGGCAAGTAAGGTACAAACAAGAGACTTGAATTGAAAGCTAAACTTTGATATCCTAAAGATTCACTCTTCTCTTTGGTTAAAGCATTGTGCTTTGCTTATTTGCAAGAATAACCCTTTTCCTTTTGCTAGAACTCATAACACTTAATTATCCAAAAAAAACTCATAACATTTAAAAAAATTCAATGACTTCTCCATAATTTTATATATATTAATTATAATTACGAATATCTTGAAGAGTAATTAAAAACAAATTTAGTAATAAATATAATCACAATTATATGATTTTAGAAAATAAATTACAAGGTTATAATATATAAGTGAAAGCTTGATATAATCACAATTTAGTAATAAATTACAAATTTAGTAATAAATATAATCAAAATTATAAGATTAAGAGGAAGCTATCTTACCAAAAATTCCTGGAAAATAAGGTATATATGCAAAAATAAAATTTATAAAAAAAGTGAAAGCTTGATATGCTAAAATATCTGAAAAATAATTTCTTTATTGAAGTATTGTGCTTTGCTAAAATGTAAGGATAAGGTAATTGATCACTTTTATTCTCACTTTTACTTTTGATATGACTCAAGATCTTTAAAAATGCAGACTCTTTTTTATTATTTTTTAAAATTTATAAAATACATTTTTTATATGTAAATATTTTAAAAATAAGTATATCTGTAAACGAATACGAACGATGATACAACCAATAAAATTGACCATGTTTACAACTGAATTTGAATATTATAGTGTAGTAATCTTTTCAATTTTGATGGGGCCTACTATCAGAATAGAAATCCCATTACCTCTTCATCTAAAACATTGACACGTGTTTGTCTTAATTATAACTTTCTAAACCTTGTTTGTTTAGTGTAAAAAAATTCCTTGTTTTTCCTAATTTCGTTTACGTTCTAATTAAAATTATTAATACTGGTTTTATGTTTTATTAATATTTTTTATTCTGACAATTAAAATAATATATTTATATTAATAAGAATTGATATTAAAACCTTTTTACTTTTAATTTATTTTAATTGGTACTAATATAAACATTATATTATTAAAATTATTAATAAATATATTTTAATAATTATTTTTATGAAATTGATACTAAATATTGTCTTAATATTAAAATATTAAACTTTTATATTAAATTGATACTAAAATATTAATATTAAATATATAAAATAATATTATTTTGAATATTTATGTTTTGAAGTGAAAAATTTATAAACAATTTATGAAAAATCAAATTGTAAGTTAATTTCCAGAAAATGTAAAAGAAATTCTATTGATCACTAAAATAAATTACATTGATTAATATCACTAAAATTATTTCTAATAAACTAATAAAACCCTACAATGGTCAACAGCTCTGTGTGCCTCTCTCCCTCTAAACCATACCAAGTTATATTACTGAGGCTCCATCTCTCTTTAACAAGCAGATGACAAAACCCAACGGTAACTCTTCTTGCCTCTTAATTTGTCCGTAACATATTTGTTCTTATTTTTGCAACAGTTTTGGAGTATTGAAATTCCATGCTTCAGTCGTTAAAATTTAATCCGCTTATAGCTTTGTCACTCATAAAGGTTATATCTTTGATTATTTTTTTATGTTTTGATTCTGTTTTTTTTCCAGTTGGAAAGTTGATGTTTGATGCATAGCTATAATTGCGGATATTTTTCAGATATTGGATTCTTAATGTGTAGCAAGAAAAGAAGTACTCAATCTGAGGTAGAAGCTCTTGAGGGTCAAACTTATTTAGCTACTGATAATACGGTTTTGGGGCCCTCTGGTAAGAAAATTAAGATGGATAATAAAAAAGATGCAGATATGGGAGATGTGGTTGCTTCATCTTCTGCTGCTGCTGGTTCCATTAAACCAATGGAGAGGAAAAAGAAGAGGAAACAAATGGACAAGGAGAGGAGGCTCTCGAAACGATTTTTCTTAAAAGGTGAGATTTAAAAAACCACATTAATTCTTAATTATCCTCTTCTTAATTTAAAAACAAATGCGATTTAAAAGACCTCTCGTTTCGAAAATTTTTGGATTTCCTTTACGATCGAAAAATATGGTTCGAAGAGTCGCCACCAATTTTTGATTAAGGTGTGATTGAGCACCCAAAAAGTGTCTTGTCATTTTAAATAAACAATTAATTTTAATTAAAACAACAAATTGAGGTCTGTGTTACCAAAAAATGAGTTCGGGAGTCGGTTACGTGTGGGGAAGGATTAGCACCCCCACAACACCCTAAATCGATACCTAATCGATTAATTAACGTCTTTGCAATGAACTTTACAAATTCAAATTTAATTTAATTTTTGATCCCGTAAACAAAAAAGTGAATTTTACAATATTCAAAAACACCCAAATTAATTAAATTAAAATTACCTAGTCATTTTAGAAAGATAAAGAATGTTCGATTATTTACAAATATCTAGACCAGATCTAAAATTTATAACAACCTTTTCTCGATAAATTTAAATAAACGAACATTTCCTTTTCTTTCGTTCCCAAATTTTAGAGTGATTGATCAATTTTTAGGCGTCACTAATGGGATACACTTTTATTTTAAAATCATTAAAAGCGGACCTCAAATCAGTTATGACTGCCCACTTAAAACAATTTTAAATTAAAAGGGTATTACCCTTAGTCCAAAAAGGGTATTACCCTTAGTCCAATTATGTAATAGGTCGAGTTATGCACGTGAGGATATCATACAAATTGTGCAAAAAAGTATGTCATGCCAAAAATTAATTAAACAAAATTAAAATATCATACAATGTAACATACAAAAAATTATATACATATGTTTAAAAAAAATCATAAACCATGCATATTAACATATAATGTACAAATGACTATTACTTATTATGAAAAATACTCATATGACATGCATATATAATTATACATTACACGTGTATTCACAAGATGCAAAATAACTACTTACATGTTAATACGTGTACACATATATATATATCTATATTATTATACATCACACGCATATATAAGTGGAATATAGAAAGTCACCACATGCATACAACACGCATTCATGAAATATGGATTTACACACACGTGTCATAATGATTCGACCATATGGTTACCAAGCCTTCTTAGCAAACCTAAACTATCCTTACAGACATACGTATATAAAAAAAACGTAAACGTTGACTAAAACATAAATAAATAAAATTCAAGGACCACGTTATAAATAGAGTAAATAATAGGATATCACACAAAAAAATCGAACATCAGGCCTTGCAAACGTAATATAACCAAAGAAAATATGAGAGTTTTTTTTTTTAAAAAAAAGGTACACGTTAAATGTAAAAAAAACAGTAAGTTTAAATAACCTAACAAATGACTAAAATGAAAACGCATAAACTATGAATGCAAAAATAAAAAGCTCGAAATATCCATTTTAGGACCAAAATACAACAATTCAAGAACCTAAAGGAGCTCACTCAAAATTTCCCTTCTTTCTCAAAACATGGAATTTCTTGTCAATTTGCAACACTGTCGTTTTTTTTTTTGCTTTAACATATATAATATTTTAAATAAAAATCCTAACTCATATTTGATTAACCCTCAACCGTAAACACTAAAACCCTCCCTCTCCCTCTCTTCTCGATCTTCTCTCTCGCTAAACCCATGGCCAGCGTTTGGCCACCATTCGGCCACCACACCTTGATGGCCAACCTCCCTTCGACTGCAACCGTATATCACCTCAACTGACTGACAACCCAATGACGAAAGAAAACGAAGAAGAAAGGTAAATTTCCCTCTCTTTTCCCTTGCACTTTTTCTTGTTTCAACTTATATTTACTAATCTAATTTCAACTCTCTTTTTTTTTGACATAGCTCGAACGTAGAACGAATGGAGTCAACAAGACTCCATTTAAATTCGTACAACCCAAATGTTTTAATCTCAAACTCTCTTTTTATTTAATTCAAAATAGTATTAGCACACACACAAAAACGAAAGAAAACAAAAACAATTGAGGAAGAATTTCTCGAAAAAATACCTCTATTGCTTTCTCTGATTTTTAATGGTGGGATTACAATATTGTTCTTTCAAATTTGTTTACACTGTGTGGTTTTCCAGTCCCGAGAACCACCTATTGTTGGTCTTTTTTCCTTCTGTTTTTTGACTGCAGATAGAATTTGTGGTTTGATTTCTCCCTGTTCGTGTTGCTTTCTCTTGTTGTTCTCTGCTATTTTTTCGTTCCCTCCCCTTGTGATGCTAGTGTCCTTCTAGTTTCTGGAGGTTAATTGCTAATAATAACCGACCCCACCTCATTTACAGTTTCTTTCTATCTATTCAAAATCATGGACCCGATCTTATTGGTAACTTCTGATAACTTACCAGTTATCGTACATGGCTAAAATAAATTCCAATTGTTGTAGGGAATCCTCACGTGAACTGGTAAATACCCTGTTAGATTGTTGGGTTTAAATTGGGCCTTTAATTGGCTTGGGGTCGGGTTAGGTTGCCATGGCTTCGAGTCTGCTCCGACATAACCCCGGACAAATCGAGTATCTACAGCTGCCCCTCTTTGCTCATTGTTGTGTAACGAGAATAGAGCAAAGATCAAAAGATGATCGAGTTTGTCCGGTCCTGAGAACTTCAAAAGATTAAAGCACTCCACAGTTACTTCGGGATAAATGAAACTTGAAAAATCTTCGAATGACGGGTCCGCTCCCTCTTGTTCATGGATTAAGGAGCTCAAACAATCTTCTAAAAATGAGTTTGCTCCCTATTGCTTCAGGGAGTAGAATTTGAATAATCTTCTGCTTACGGGTTTGCTCCCTCTTGTTTCAGGGAGTAGAACTCGAACAATATTCTACTTACAGGTTCGCTCCCTCTTGCTTCAAGGAGTAGAACTCGAATAATC